GCCTAAGTCATGATGGCCTGTGGCCCACACAATCATTGTTGTATCTTGATTGGTGGATGGAGAGGAGTCGACATCAGAGGCGACATGTGTACCTTTAAAAAATAGTTGGCTAGGAGATGATGACAGCTTTGAGAACACCTCTTCAGAGGGTAATGATGATGTTTACAAATGACAGCGGTACATGGCCAAGCTTGTAAGTTGAGCCTCTGGTCCGTCCTGGTACTGTGATTTGGGGCTTTTACTATTGAACTCTTTCTTACCCTTTCGAGATTATTCTAAAGTAATTACGAGTTCGGTCACCAACACAAATGAATATAAAATCTTATTGCAAAAGAATTGCATAATACAAGCAGTATGCAGACATGATTTTTATAGAAAAATCGGTCTGGATGGTTGAGCATCATCAATGTGTTGCAACCAAGGAAAAACGCTAAAAATTCCGTTAGAATGATGTGAAAAACTGAAAGCCAAAGCCAGCCATTTTCTCAAAATTAAACATTTCACTTTGAACTTGTATAATGTATAGTCTAAAGGTAATCCGTACACATCTGGATCACATTTTATAAAATTCAACATCATTATATACTGTAAAATATCAAACTTACAGAACCTTGAGAGTACTAATATACACACCCCAACAATTTCAACCAGAACATCAATTAACAAGGAAAAATAATATTTTTTTATTTTGAAAAAGAAAGCTGAGAAACTAAAAGGACAAAAATTAGAGAAGCATACTGATTCTGGATACTGGATGGTCCTATAGCACCGCCCGCTTTTTGCCTCCCAGAATCGAATGGTGTGATCATAGCTCGCTGTAGCAAGAACCACAGATGGTTGACTCATATTTGTTCTTTTTCTTTATTGATACGGCTAAAAGACATTAAAAATAAATCAATACAAGGACAATATATAACTGGAAATTAAATTGAAATGAAAACCAAAAGCAGATCTTTTGGGAAAATACGGTTCAAAATCAAAAGGGATTGGATAAAATTAAGATATAAATAACGGGATGTGCTTAAAAGATGAAAAAAGAAGTATTTTATAATACCAATTACCTGGAAAATTGCTGACGGAAAATTCAGATCATTGATGGGTTTTGTTTAGGGTTTTAAGGAGATTCAAATACATGAATCATATTCAAAATTTCGTTTCCTCGAAATAATGGCCATCGAACGTGGGCCTAATCTAGACATTTAAAGACTTCACTTCTTTTAAGTGACAGGTTTTGTAGGGTTCATAGACTTTCATTGACTATGGAATTAACACTTTCATAAACTTCTTAAACTTTCAATTTTAAAAATTTACATAATTTTGATAGATGTTCGTCAACTTTTATAGATTTTCATTTTAAAAGATTTTTGTAGAATTTCAACAAGAAAAAAAATCATCAAAGTATCATTCTATATATATATAGAGTGAAATAATTGAAGTCATGTTAAAACAACTTTACGAAAAATAAGGGCACTCATTCTCATAAAAAAACAATTGACCCCCATAATAAAGGAAAAAGGAAAACACTGCCTCTAGGGAAAAAAATAAAGTGACTAATGATTAATTTTTAACTTGTTGAAATTCATAATAAAATGAGTGATGCTATTTTCCGTCGCTCAATACCGTAATCGTCCAACGTGGTATATATGTAACAGCAGGGCCGGTCCTGTGATCGGCG